GAGTTTCTAAATTCAGGCTTCTGCTGGAAATGGCCTATTTCAATAGATAGGAAGGTTTCTGTAGCTCCAAAGATTTCTCCTTTGCAACCCATTCAATTTCAGTCTGCTTCTTTGCTCTTTGCAAAACAGAACCTCCCACTAGCCTTGGAGACTGAGGTTCTTAAAAGGCCTTTATTGTAGCCAAAGGCATGCATGGGTCACTGGTAGTGGGAGGAGCCTGTCCCAGCCTCACCTTGTCCTGAGATTTATCCACATACAGTAACCAGGCCTGACGTGGTGGCGCATGCCTGTAATCCCAACACTTTGGAAGGCTGAGGCGGGTGGATCACCTGAGGTCAGGAATTCAAGACCAGCCTGGCCAACATGGTGAAACCCCATCTCCACTAAAAATAGAAAAATTAGCTGGGCATAGTAGTGGGCACCTATAATCCCAGTACTAGGGAGGCTGAGACAAGAACTGCTTGAGCCCACGAAACAGGTTGCAGGGAGCCGAGATTGCACCACTACACTCCAGCCTGGACAACAGAGCAAGACACCGTCTCAAACAAAAAAGCACAAATACAGTAACCAAACATTGTAGGTTAGTAACTCACCTGCAGTTGGGAGCCAGCTACAACCGCAATCATTTTAAAATTTTCAATTCTTTGATCTCATGCAATGCACACTTTCTTCTGAATTAGCGAACTGGATAAACTATGAAAATTTCTTAAAATCAGGAAGTCTTGCTTACAGTAAAGGGCAAATTCCTGTGACTTGAACATTTTTTCTTTCTCATAGCACCATTCTGAAATCTGCATTATTGCTTCCGAATTTTGAAGGCTTGTTTTCCAAATACTTGTGGGCAGCTCCTAAAAGACTTTGCCCCTTAAGTATGGGCAGCCGCTTTCAGGATGAAACCATGTGACTTAAGACTGGCAGATCCTGGGAGCTTGCACCTGATTCAGCTCCACAGACGGATTAATTTCTTCTCTGCCTCAGCTCCCCAGGCTCTAAAATGGCATAATTTCTCCCCTACTCCTTAGCTCTTCTGACTACATACGATCCCTGAATTCCGAATGCCATTATTATTATTTTAGCATTATAAAAACAGAAACCAGCCAGGCACGGTGACTCGCGCCTATAATCCCAGCATTCTGGGAGGCCAAAGTGGGTGGATCACCTGAGGACAGGATTTCAAGACCAGACTGACCAGTATGGTGAATCCCCATCTCTACTAAAAATACAAAATTAGCCAGGCGTGGTAGTACATGCCTGTAATCCCAGATACTTCGCAGGCTGAAGCCAGAGAATTGCTTGAACCTGGAAGGCGGAGATTGCAGTGAGCTGAGATGACACCACTGCATTCCATCTTGGGCAACAAGAACAAAACTCCATCTCAAAAAAAGAAAAGAAACATCATTACAAACTTGCTAATACCAGAAACAATGTTCAGCAGGTTGATTGTTGTTTGAAATGTGTTAAATGCTAAATTATTTCCCAGGTGACCAGTTATCTAGAAGTAAATTTAACTGAAAATCTTGGGCTCACCAGTCTTCAGGAACCACTGTGGCGGGGAGAAGACAAGACGTGGGAACTTACAGAGGCAAAATTTCAAATCTGTAGCCCAAGATGTTGATAAAAAGGCTGGGAACAGTGGCTCATGCCTATAATCCTAGCACTTTGGGAGGCTGAGACGGGCACATCACCTGAGGTTGAGAGTTCATGACCAGCCTGACCAACATGGAGAAACCCCGTCTCTACTAAAACCCCATCTCTACTAAAAATACAAAAAAATTAGCCAGGCGTGGTGGCCCATGCCTGTAATTCCAGCTACTCGGAAGGCAAGAGAATCGCTTGAACCCAGGAGGCACAGGTTGTGAGCTGAGACTGTGCCATTGCACTCCAGCCTGGGCAACAAGAGCAAAACTCTGTCTCAAAAAAAAAAAAAAAAAAAGTTGATAAACATACATTGCCTAGCATTTGGTAAGCATTTAATAATTTTTAAAAATTTAATAAATTACCAGAATGGCAATTCTATTCCTCTTCAGTATAGAAGAATTGCTGTATCTCAGTCCTTAAGTTTAAATTCCAGAAAATTTGCCTGTTTCAAAATGTGATGGTTCAGTCTCTTGCTTTATATAATTCTTATAATATACACTGTATAAAAGCAAACATAAACAAGGAAGACAATTAACTAGCATTGGCTGGCTTATGCCCAATTTCACAAATGATTTTACAAAACATAGAGGACATTTGATGCAGCAGAGAAAGAATGAGGGCCAGAGTTTGTCCTTAGTGGGAGAATTCAAAAGCTTGCACTGATCCAGAAGAAGTAAGTACAATGGCAAGCAGGAAGAAAGATAAACCACAGGAAAACAGGACCAGTCCCTGTAGAAGTTCTAAACTTCTGAGGTATGTTCAGACAAAGCCTGCTATTAGACCAAAAATAACCTGCCCCTGTTAACAAGAGCTTCCTGTTCTTGTCAGGTTTGGAGGTAGCAGTCCCAGGGCTTGGTCCTGACAAGCTGCTGCCCTGTAGGCTAAGCTTTCCCTTGGAAGCTCTGAGTACCTCTGAACCTCAGTGGGAAAGGTCACAATCAGAGTTCTGTGCAGTCACCATCGGTAAAATCTTTAGGGAGGCAGATGTCAAGTATAAGCTCCCACCTCAGAGCAGGATGAACCTACCCAGACATTTCCCAGGCCAGGCCTTTAGGCCTCTGGAAAACAGCTGCTGCCAAAAACAGCTCCACAGCCTGCAGTTGCCTCCTGCTAAACCCACCTCTAGCCACTAGGGAGCAGCCTGTCACTGTCCCAGAGGCCTGTGCTAGTTTCCAGGGAATTCCTGGAGTTGTACTAATACTGCAGAAAAACTCATTAGTCTTGGCTTTCAGAAGGTGCAGTGACAATGGAGTACGTTGCCCTGGAGCAGTATTTTCAAGACATGCGCTGTGGAATTCATTTGGTCTAAGACCAAAATAAATATTTAATGAAGCAGAAAAAGGTCAGAGTACATCACACGTATCATGGATAAACCAGATTTTGTTTCTAATACCACTCCCATTAAAAGAACCCAGCGTTCCTTGCAGAAATGGCTGATTCCGGGGCTAGAGCAAGCTAAGCACAAGATAAGCCTGAAGCATCTTGTTAGGCTAGAAAATAAAAAAAGAAGTGCTCAGAAAAATAATAATAGCATGTCACCAGGATAGAGGAGCCAGCTTGAAGGGTTTCTTGCCTGGCTAAAGCTGAGACAATCTGTGCACCAAAATACTCAATTGGAACCACTGAAAAAGGCCAGGTTGGTGGCTCCTGCCTGTAATCCCAGCACTATGGAGGCCAAGGCAGGCAGATTGCTTGAGCCCAGAAGTTTGAGACTACAGTGAGCTCTGATTGTGCCACTGCACTCCAACATGGGTGACA